TCAGGATCCGGAGGTATGTAGGATGACATACTTCTGCCGGTTTACCATCATCCGTACACCACCAGGTGTAGGTCCGGCTCCCCAAACGGGCCGGCGGCGTCCCCGAGGGGGCCGAGATCCCCTGAGCACTTGCAGACATCAGATCCTGGGCCGAAGCCGAGGGCACCGAGGCCTGAGGCAATGCAGTTGACACTGAGGCGGGACACGCCATGAAGGAGCGATAGTGCCCTGTCGGGGGTCTGGGCCCCAAGTGTAGAATCCCTGCCACCAAGGTGTAGGAGATCCACGTAACGGCATGACCGGAACCAAAGACAGGAAAACTAACTCTTTGCATGGCCTTATTGGCACCTTGATCGGAGTTTTGCCTCGCATACTGGCATAGCGAGCTAGACACACAAGCAAACACGAAGGTGTGCTTACGAGGCCATGCGGCAGTTTCTATCGTACAATGCACTGCTGAAGAGTCATGTGGGCCTGCCTGGGGAGGGGCAGGTCTACATAGGTGGTGCCCGAGATAAGTGGCCTGCGCGATTCAATGGTGCCAGGTAACGGCGTTGCCTCCCATCTGCATGCGATGAACTCAAGCGGATGTTTAGTGAGCAGATGATGCATGAGTTTCATACAATCTTGCTGCTGATTCAGATTGGGCCACTCCCTGAGCAGCGAGCGCCAGTCTAGCAGATCCGAAATCACCAACCTGTCGGTGGAGAGTCCTGGTGGCGATCCATGCAAAATGGAGCACAGTGCCTTTACGAGCGAATTGGCTCCCACAGGGGGGCCAGCAGGCAAGCACAAAGCACATGCATACATCAAAATGTAGACTGCAGTGTTGAGATAGCAGTGATTGCCAGGATTGTGCAAGACAAGTGAAGTCAGTGACCATGGCGACACAGATTGATGCTGTTCCCTGGGGCCCGGACACTCTACCACCCGATCGCTTCCGAGATCTCTTTGATCAGCGGCGACCGTTCGGCTTGAGGCGAAGCGACAGGAGCAGCAGGGCTGAGGATGCGTACCATTTCCGGAAGATCGCCATTGCTTCTGCTGCATCCTGGTGTTGCAATGATTGTTCCAACACGAAATTCGCTGTTCCGGATACCGAGTCCGGCTGGGCGTTCCTTGCAGCGGAGAAGCGGAGAATCAACTCTGGCGACTTCAGAATGATTTTGAGACGTCTCGCGTCTGCCAGGATCTGGTCCTGCGTAAGCGCCCCCTCCTGCCTTGGAATAAGTTTCTTCTCCTCCGCATCCCAATCCAGAAAGTTGTACTCCAGGTCGCTCGTCACCCACCCCATCTCCTGCGCCTTGGCCTGTGCTTCCTTGTCGCTCCCGAAGGTGGTGACTCTGGTGACAATCTCCGCTGCCAAGTACTGAAGCAGCATCTGCTTGAGGGACTTCGTCACCTGGCCTCGACTGCGTTGCTCCCTCCAGTTGGCAGCCACCTCGTGAAGAAGCGGCGCCGACATCTGTGGGCCGTTGCCATTATCATTGCGAAACGTGAAGATCACCGTGTGATCGCTTTGCAGGCGGGCCAGATAGTCCGACTGGACTACCAGAGCCTTGGCCACTTCCTGGCCCAGCTCCGTCTCCAGCAGGCCGCTCGTCATCGCCATGTCCTGTGGATCGTCGGTGGAGGGTTTCGTTGTCAGGCAACGCAGGCGAGCAAAGCGCAGCCTTGAGTAGGCAACACATCCGAGCTTGCCACAGAACAGGGCACGTGCCAGAATGCAAGTCAGTGCGTTTCATAGCAAAGCCACAGAATGCGCAATGGTGATATCAGATGGCCGATTTTCCTGCAGTCCGCCGTCGCAGTTAAGCTATATTTGTCATAGGCGTCAGGGTGTACCTGCTTATAATGTAGCTTAATGCTACGCACGGAGACCAACCATTGCCCGCAAACTGCACAGAATTGACGAAGGATTGCTTGCATGAGTGCCCGGCTGCCTTGCAAACTCCAGCCATTTCCTGAGTGGCACCGTGGGCATGCTCGAGAGCAGAGAGCAGCGTGCGAGGTGCAGGCGACCCTGTGACTGAAACAGACTCCTCTGCATGCGTGACGGCAGGAGATTTTGCCGACTTACCGATAGGTTCCAAGTCAATCAAATGCTGTCTTACATGTCAATGGGGATGGGGCACTAGGTAGGGCAGAGGGAAGGGAGATGTGCGATCCCATCACAGAGGTTTCGGTGGAAAACTGTGAATCGCTGGGCTGATTTGGGACAGGAGACACAGAAACGGGGTCACAGGTTTTTCTGATGCTGCCGAAAACAGTGTCCTTTCTGATGTGTCGCTTGAGGTTAAACCAGGTAACATAATCCCGCCCACAGTGCACGCAGACCGGCATACCATCCACGCTATGACTGCGAACGGCAGCTGCATCCACAGAGATGTTTGGATTGTGTAGCGCAGTTTCGTAGTACTTGTGATGATGTCTCTTGAGTGTGGCGAGGTCGGGGAAACAGAGTTGACACTTAGGGCAGGTGAGGGTGGCATACCTTGGACCGTGCTGGCCTGCGACCCTGTCTCCTTTCGGTGCCCCTGTGAGGGGGCCGGGAAGAGAGGCAATGCGCACAGAATCCTCCACCGCCTGTACGCTGCGCAAATCCGAAGCTACAGTATAGGTCGGGGGTGGTACTGAGTCGAGAGGGGCAAGTCGGGTTTCTGTGACTCTGGTAAGCCATTGCAGAAGTCTGGGC